AGAACTATTAATCAGACTCTTGAGATAATTCTTAGTTTTTTTTCCTTTTTTTTGGGGGGGGGGGGTCTGGTCGTGGGGCCTGAACTCTGGGCCTGGATGTTGTCCCTCAGCTCTTCAGCTCAAGGCTAGCACTCTACCACTTGAGCCACAGTGCGACTTCCAGCTTTTTCTGCTTATGTGGTACCAAGGAATTGAACTCAGGGCCTCATGCAAGCACTCTACCACTGAGCCACCTTCCCAGCCCCTCTTAGGTTTACTCTTTAGCGGCTTTGGCTGCACAGGAAAGGTAAAGTAAAGCGTTCAAGAGCCTCTACTTAACAGAAGTTCTGTAAGAGAAGCCTCTACTTACAGGAAGTTCTGAGAGAAGGGTAGACAAGGCCTCCCAGGTATAGGAGCCTGGTGAGTGTTTCTTGCCCTGATAGAAATTGGCCACCTGTGTCAGCCTGCTAAGAAAGACCCTTCTAAGCATGCTTCTCTCTGAGCATGCAGAACTAGCTGGGAGACACACAGGTCTGCTGAGGGTTGGGGGTGGTGAGAGGTGTGGGGAAAGGCACGCCAGGCGTGGGAGACCCATGGCTGTGGCCAGCCTCATGGCTGACCTGTCACTTGGGCTGCAGATTGGGAAGGGATACAAATAGTGGTGGCACCTGCTTGCTTTTGGAATCCTGCTTTGGTGCAAAGCAAATTAGGCAACTAAGTCCCTCAATAGATGAATGTCTGTCCCAGGCATGTGGGCACACAGTGGGAGTCTAAACACTGCTGTTGTGAATGGAGGAAGGGTTCAGGCACAGGCTAAGAAGAGCATGAGGAATCATAGTTTCGTGTGTTCTTTCTTTCCTTTTTCTTCTGTTGTGGGGCTTGAACTCAGGGCCAGAGCGCTGTACCTGAGCTCTTTTTTGCTTACAGTTGGCATTCTACCACTTTGAGCCACAGCTCCACTTTTGGTTTTCTGGTAGTTAAGTGGAAATACAGTCTGACAGACTTTCCAGACTGGACTGGCTGTGAACCATGATCCTTAGATCTCAGCCTCCTGAGTAGCTAGGATTACAGAGGTGAACCACCAGCACCTGGAGGTCCTATGTTTTCTTTTATTAACACAGTACTTTTCCCTGCAAGTGATATTACTGCTGTTTCATTTATTAGACTGAGTGTGAACCAAACCATCTTCTGCCTTCAACATTAGTAGATTGGTTCTTCTTTCAGCTGGGCCTTCCTGGTCAGTTCCTCTCTTGGGCATAGTGGAATGTGGTGCCCACCTCTCCTGGGCTGAGCTTAGGGGCTGCTTAGCCTGAAAATGAAGCCTCCAACTGGGCAAGACTCACAAGCGTGAAGGACAGATCTTTGCCTCGTTTGGTGCTAAGAGGTCACCTGGGGAAGATGTCAGCTCAGTCTAGAAAGGCCTTCCTTCTCCTGTTTGAGGTTCCTTCTTAATCGTTTAATAGGGAAATGCTACTGCAATACAAAACAAAACAATGCAATTTCCAGAAGTAAGGGAATAAAATGTTCTCCCATCCCCACTGCCAGTACCGGTCCTGTAGATGAACTCTTACAAGTTCTTGTCCATTGATTAAAAAAACAAACAAACCCAATTCCTACTGTGTCAGTTTCTGTAGTTGGGGAGATAAATGTCTGAGAATCTGTCCTGTGGGGCTTATATTCAAGAGAGACAGACAGAGGTATATATGAAATATGACACAGGGTACCCTAGGGTACACTGGGGTGGCGGGGAAGGCCTTCCTAGAGCAATGATAGCATTGAGTGACTTTAGCAAAATGAGGGTGCAAACCAGAATTTTGAAAATCCCCTCTGCCCTTCCCTCTCCCATTCTGCTTTTCATTTACTAGTTCTCTGAAATGAGATCCAACTATACACACGATTCTGAAACTTAATTTTCTCAAGTCACAATGCAATCCAGACTTTTGTCTGTGATAGCACATAGCACCTTGACTACAGTCTTTATGTTGCTGAACAGCCTTCCACATACTCCGGGTACACAGATATGTATACACAGGTAGACACACATATTGGGGATATATGTGTTAGTTTTTTGTCACCCATGCAAATGTGGGAATGCATGTTATTAATATTATTTTTTATTACTGTGATAAAATGCCTGGTAGAAAGAGTTTAGGGGAGGAGGGACTTAATTTGGCTTAGAAGTTCCTTGGTTACTTGGGTATGTTACTTTTAGCCTGTAGTGAGGCAGTGGTGAGCATCCTGGCAGAAGGGCATAGTAGAGGAAATCCTCTCACCTCATAGCAGCTAGGATGCAAAGGGAGGGACATAGGCAGGGTTTAGAGCAAGATACAGCTCCCAAAGATGCACCCTCCATGGCCTGCTTTCTCCAGCTGGGCCCCGCCCCCTAAAATTGCCAGCACCTCTCAAAATAGCATCACCAGGCTTCAGCACATTAGTCTGTATGAGACATTTCATTTTCAAACCATAACTGTAAGTATGTACATATGTATGTGTGTATGTAATGTGTCTATATGTATAAGCTAAAATATATACCTCTGTGTACGTATATCTTAGTAGGGTTATATTATAGACATATTTGTGGCTTCTGAGGTGTGGAATAGCAGTATAATTTTTATTACGTTACATTCTGAGAAAAACTCTGCAGGAGAAGCCTAACTTAGATTAAGGGTACAGTGCCTGGAGAAATCTCTGTGAGGAACAAGTAGTTGGTGTAGGCTGAGCTGAGCTCTGAGGGCCAAGCACAGGTAACTGACTAGGGAAGTGCTGGGGAAGGAGTCGGCCAGCAGAGATTTGCCTGAATCAGACCTAGGTGTGATGGAGCAGGGCGTATCAGAGGGGTTGAACTTGGCCAGCGAGGCTGGAGCTTGGCAAGCTGGAGAGGAAGGGCAGGGAGTGGGGAGGTCTGGCATCATGTCATTCTGCCTGCTGTGGGGAGCCGTATAGCGATCTTGGATAGTAAGCGATGCAGCTCCATGGATGCTTTGAAAAGATGCATTAGAGGAGGTCACAGTAGACACAGACCATGTGGGAAGCTATTGCAGTTGTCCAAGAAACAGATGAAAGTAGTGGGAGGAAGATGGTGGCGCAGTACTATGGCTGTAAGGGGGTAGATTTTATCCAGGCATCATCAAAACCAGTTGGAAGAGCCCCTGGGAGGCGTTGCATCCAAGCAGGACCCTAGTGAGGGTGCGGCCACCAGGAGCTTACATCGGGAGAAACAGGCCTCCAATTCATCTATTTGTTTCCCTGGGTAGGGGAGTGTTTGGCTTTTGTCAGTGGGCTGTGTTTGCATGGACAGGGCAGGTTTCTTAGACTTGGAGAAGGAGATAGTTGGGAGAAGCGGGCAGAGGGAGTCACAATGCTGCTGCTCTTCCCTGGGGGCCTTAACAGGACCAGTCATGGAGCCTCAGGCTTTATAACCTTTATTGCATTGAATCTATGCTGCAGTGTGTGGGGGTGGGTACCAAAGTTGTCCCACTGTACATATGAGAAACTGGTCACTAGGAGGTGGGATCCTTTGCTCAGGGTGACACAGGCAGCTGCGTCCCATTGCGTGGTCAGTGTTCTGACAGGCCTGAGCAGCATTCAGAGATGATGGTGTTGAGTTTTTAAACCATTTTTTGTTGCATGCCTCCCACCTACTCGTACCTCCTTCAAGTCCAGGGGAAACAGTTTTCTCTGAACCCCAGCAAGGGAAAAGGTGGTCAGGTGGTGGAAAAAGTACTTTTCAGCTGGGACTTTGACAAAGGAGGTGCAATTCTTATCATTGCTTTCTGGAGGTAAAAGGCACAAACAGAATCAGTACTAGATTGAGAGCTGGTTCACCCCTCAGAGATACAGTAAGGGCAAGGAAAGAGGCCTTCCTATGCGGGAGGGTGTGTTTCTGGTCCTGACAGTGAAGTGCAATGTTCAGTTCTCTAGAAGAAATTTAGCCTGTGTGATTCATTAAGTCACAAGCGTTTGTGTATACACATGTGTGCAAGAAGAGAGAATGCTACTTCTTATACTTGCAGTGCATGCTAATTTCTCACCTCTGGATAACCTGTTACCTTCTTCACTCATGAGATGGTGTGTCCCTGGGTGTGGACCAGCCACGGGACACATTTGTATTTGCAAATAAATAACAGACAGTTTTCTGCTGATGGCAGGTACTGTTCCTAAATGTGAATTTTTCACCCTTTAGGGGCCATCTGGTTTTTTTTTTTAAATTATGGACAGACTTAAGATCAGAAATTGGTGAGATTTTGGTAGGAGTGCTTTGTTGAACTGTTGGTTCTCCTTCTGAACTAATAAAGAAGGTCCACTGACAGGGTGACTGACCCACAGTCCATAAAGCACCCAGAACCTGACTGGGTACCAGTCATAGCGCTAAAGGACTGTGGCTGTGAATCTCCATTTCCCCCTTTATCTTGCCTTTTCCTTGTCTTATTAGTTATCTTTTATTTTCATGTTCCTGAAGATAGTTCACAAGCAACAGTTACCACTTTAGGATTTGGGTGTGTGTGTGTGTGGGGGGGGAAGTCAGTGGGGGAAACACCATCAAGAAGAAGAAAAAGGAATCCATTTAATACAAAATGACTGGAGGGGGTGAAATCACTTATACCTTATTATTGACGTGTTCCACACAATTAGTGTGATCTTGAAGGAAGAAGTTTGAGCCACCCACAACCCTGAATATTCTTACTGGGAGGATGAAATAATAGTGCACTTCTCACATTGAACTCTGCCAACATTGCGGGCACTGCCGGAGAGACCCCCCATCTTGAGGCTGTCATTCTTGGCTCTGAGAGAGCCCCTGACCCTCCCCCTCCCTCATCCTCCAAGCAGGGGGAGGTTAAGCCTGGCCATTAACCCATAGGTGACCCAAATAGAATTTTCTGTCCCAGGAATCTGTTGACTGCCAGGTATGGCTTTGTGGTAATTCTAGTATTTGCAACCCAGCAATTTGAACCTTCTGTCTGCTTAAATGATGATTTTACGTCGTAATGGTTGTTCTAAATCCTTTCGCTTTTGCTCCATAGCCGCTGTTGTGACAAGAAAAGCTGTGGCAACCGAAATGAGACTCCCTCAGATCCAGTGATAATTGACAGGTAGGGACAGTCTTCTTTCACTGGATTCTTATTCCGTATTATAATGAAACACCTGCCTTGTGTTGCACCCGGGCCAGGCGAGGGTTAGGAACGCCTGTGGCCGAAATTTGTCTGTTGGTCGTGATTTATACTGCGCCGAGCGATTGGAATTCCTGGGAAAGCCATATGGAATGTTCTTTGGAGGCCTGTTTCTTGGATCACTCCGGTTTTGTGTCTGATTCATGTTCCTAAAGGAATATATATATTTTTTATTCCTGACTTTCTGTGGCTCTATCTTCATGCTGTGCCAGGAAGCTTCAGAAATAAAATAATAATAGTTTGTGATTTATGAAATGTGGTTGGGTGCTTATAAATATTTAACTTTTATTTGAAAAATGTTTGAATCATTATCACTTTTAGCTACAGTAGTTCTGTTGGATGTAATCCATCTACATTTTAAGGTTTTTATTTATGCATAAAAGCAGTTTAAAGAGATCTGCGAACCAAGATTTTCTACTATTATTTCCCGTGTTTGATTATAGCTCATCCTGTATTGCAGGTTGATTAATTTATCCTGCTTGTCTTAATTATTGTATTTTAAAACAGATCCATATAACTAATCTGACATGACCAAGTAAATCACTGTAGGACAATAAATCTGTTTTAGTTGTGTAGGGCAATTTTGAGTCAGCGAGAACACACATTTTACAAAGTTGCATTCCAAATATTCATTTTACATTTTAATTATTGAAATTCATTGTATGGAAACATGTGTGATATGCCATTTGTTAAATAGCATTACTCATTGAGAGTTAAATGGCCTGGAAGTTTTATAGGTACTGTCAGTTGTCAGCCAGAAGAAGAGCTAGCATCTTCTATGAGGTGGAAAGGATCAGGATAAAAAAGGAAAAGGAATTGGAGATATTCCTATCTAGACAAGTAAAAGCCTCCTTTTGGATTTTGGTAATAGTAAATTTTGACAACAACAAAGAAACAAGAACTCTAGCTTCCAAATTCTTCACCATTTCTGGACTTGATTTATCATTTTTTTTCTAACTAAAACCAAATTATTGATTTGTCTTTATCAAGAGATCAAAATATGGTTGATTTTTTTTTTATGGTTGATTTTTTTAAGCTGTGTAACTTTTCAAGTTTTTACCCAATATTGATTGTCAAGTAGCTTTATAAAAATTACATTTTATTAGAATGTGTTAACTAAATATCTCGCTAATGAATATTTACTGCAGCCTACTTTGACTTGATATACAGAATAAATACTTGATTCAAAGTTAAGAGATACAGAAGTTTAGTGTGTGATCCTGTTGTGAACAGCCCAGAGAAAGAGGATGGCATGTTTGTCTGCAAGTGTAGATAGGCTTTTCTTCGAATCATTTTCTCTACCCTGGGTGATAAAAGTCTCCAGATAAATAAGGTTAAAAATAAACATAACCTTCAGGTTGTTTGCTTCAGTTAGATATTCCTATTCAAAACACTATTTCTTCTTTTAAACACATTTTTCTTTCCCATTAAAAAAAACGTTGTCTGATCAAAGGACCAGCCCAAACATTCTTGAAACTTCGAAACTATAAACATTTTGTTCTGCTGCAGAGAAGACTTTGGTTTAAGTGATGACAAGAACCTTACCTTGCCATCCGCATTGAAAACACTTTTTTCTTGCTAGTGGATAGGTTGAGCTTTTAAGTTCTCCGTTTGGTTTTAAGCTGTGACTCTGATACAGAAGGTTGATATGCGTGTGGTTTGAATAACATTTGATTTTGACCTGTTCTGTGGGTTGCAATGGCTGAAGAAACTTGACTCAGCAATGCTGTAATTAGCCCGTTTTTGAAACGGGATTGTGTTACCTGGATTGCATTAGTATAGCATCTATTGTTGCTTTGCATCTGTCCCAGTAGGGTATTTAAAACCTTTCCTTGGCTGAGTAGTTTAAACAATTTAGGCAAAATAAGTATGTATTTTATGTTATTAGTGGATTTAGAGATATTATGACCTTTATCCTCCTATTTTTTTATTTTGATTTGACAGTGGTTAACCTTGAACTCTTAAAAGACAGGCATCATTTAAATATGGCTGGAATCAGAGTATGCCCAAGTCCCTACATATGTTTATTTTCTGGCTCTTGCCTCTGTCTCAGAGGTATGATCATTTCATGCAGTGATATTACTTGGATATGTATTTAGCTATTTATCATTTGCATCTGAGATTTTCAGAATTTATTTGTCCTTCAGTCTGCCGAAGAGGTTTTTTTTTTTTTCTTAGTTTAAAAACTCCAGTCCTGTCTGTGCTGACAGGTGAAACTTCCAATTTTAACAGAAGAAAATAACCAGAAAAGAACTTATGCCAAGAAGGGCAAAATAGGAAAGATTTTTATTTTCAATTTCATAAAATTGTTGCAAAGAAAAAAAGTGATGACAACCTCCTCTGAATTTCAGGGGTTCCAATTTCATTCTATGTTACTGATTACATAATATCTGTTACGTGCTTAGGGTGTGGTTTTCTCTCAGATTTATGTATACAGATCTCGGAATATTTAGTAAAAACAGACTCTGAAGCCTGCATGCAGTTGCAACAGAAACTGTGTTTACAAGATCCATACAATAGCAATTACAAAGCTGAGGGTACAGGATTGTTGCTTTAGGACTTAGCATAGCTTTTACAACACAGTCACCTTTTTGGGCACCAATAATTTTAGCTCCATTTGCTTGTCCTTCAGAATTTGGAAGAACTCCGCTATTTTTATCAGTCCAAAGACTTGTAGCAGTGGTTATTCAGGAAAGCTATTTATAGGATGGATGGAAGAGGCTTTCTGGTTATATGGAACTTGTGGGACAAGCTGTGTCTGTGTTAAATGTTGGCTGTATTACTTGCTGCCAGTAATTTGGGGATGTCAGCCGGGCACATCACATCAGAAACGGAGTCAACAAAACCAGCAGTTGTATACTGTGACTTGAGAAACTATGACCTGGATTCTTTTTATCTTTATATTTTTGCAGTCATGATAATGTGTCAAGTCACTTCAAAAAAGTTTGTAGAAGAATTTCTCTGAATCTGGGAAATGCACATCTTGACTTGACTGCTAGGTTAGATGGCTTCCCACTGCCACATAGCTTGACTCGGAACCACGCACTCAGTCTGTGCCTGATGATCCAGATATTTGGGCCGTGTAGATATGAGAACAGTCAAACGTGTTATGCTTAATAACTGATGATCAGGAACTAATAACAGCAAATTTAATTATCTTTGAGATAAAGGGGCATGTGTAGTAAATGTTATTCAAGTGAAAAGCAAAAAAAGACTTTCAGTTATTGAATAAAGGTGGAGATTGATTTACCCTATTTACACAAAACTCATATTTGTATTTAAAAGGGTTGCAATAAAATTTGTGTTTCAAAATTGACTAAATTGTAGTTTTATTACTACATGGACAGCCTTATGTCCTAACCTTTTTCCCTTAGAGTTATCTTAGTTCAATAAATAAAACCTCATTAGACTATTCCCATTTCAATGAGTTTATTAAATTTTGCAGGAGCAATTAGCATAAGCTTGCTAATTTTTCTGGAAGACTAATGAGGGAGGTTCTTAATTAGGTTTACTTTGTAAGAATCAGAAAAGATGGTAATGACAAGAGTCAGATAGGGTAGTCTGAACTGGGAACCCAGTTTTTCTGGTTCCATTGAAAAAAATCTTCTGTTTTCTGTGTGGACTTGCTTATAAATGCTGAGCTGTGTAAAGACTGGAGACATTTACTCCACATTTAGTGTTAGCATTCTTACTAGATCTGTTTCACAGAACTCTTTTGTTTTTCTAAACTGTCTTTGAGCGATGACATGGATGAATAGATGGTCTTATGGAAACATTTCCTTTTCCAAATTGTCCTATGGGGACACAGAGATCTCTGATGTTTCCGGTGAGAGTGGGCTGGATAGGGCCAGCTCCATATTTGTTTGTTTGTTTTTTTTCCCTTAAATTTATCATCAGTATGGTTGCTGAGATTATTAGACCGCTAAATAAAGAGACACAATAGGAGCCCCCATTTTTCTGTTCTTTATACTCTGGATACTTAGTTGTCAATGGGAGGAATTTTTTTTAATGGACAGAAATAATGAAGGATGCCTGTCCTATCCTTCATTATTATGTTCAGCTATGTCATGTGAGCTAAGACATCATTCTTTAAGGTGATCAAGAGGCTCAACCTGCAAACTTTGGGTTCCCCAAAGCAAAAGTAAGAGTATCAAACTGAATTTTAAGCCTGCCCACGAATAATTCTTCTAAATGGCTTGGTTTGCTTTTTGCACCAGCTTTGCCATCTCTTTCTTTTCCATTTATAAGTTCTATATCTGTGTTGAGAGGTTTGAGATGTAGGCTGTGACATGGGACATTAAAAGACACCCAAATTTTGTAGCATGAAGACCCACTATGTGTGGAATTCCTTCAGGCCACATTTACCCTTCTCCTAAAGAGAGAAAAAGGACCTATATTTGTTTTTTTCAGTATTGTTTGAAGACCTCCCACATCTAGGTCACCCTGGTTTATTTAGTAACACTAATTGGATTTGTGTTATGATTGTTATCTGCACCGTTCTGTTCAGTAAGGAAAATATTAGAACACTCAGCTACTTCATTTACCTGGTATACATCATTTGAACAGATAACTTTTAGACACGTTATGACTGTTCCTACAGAAATTTTTATTGAAGACCCAGTTTTCATCCAAGACATGAAAATGCAATGGTATGACTTTTCAGAGAAGGTCAGTGTTATCTTAGTGCCCAGCTAGAGTAAAACTTTAGACTTAGGACATCTCTATCCATTTTTAACAAACCATTGGAGGGAGGGAATAGACATTCCCCGAAGATTTCGAAGGCCTTCAGACCCCACAACTAGGACTTGCTTCTGTCTTTTATCATGAGCAGTAAATCTCACAATTTATTCAAGTGTTTTTCTTTTTTGGTTTTCCATAAAAGTTAAGTTCTTAACTAAGATGCACAGGAAAAGATTACTTTT